AGTGATTGTACAAAAAATGTCCTTTTATTTATGAAATAACTTTCAGTTGCATTTTTTTTTTTTTAATTTCTATATGAAAAAAAAAACTACCAATTTTGCATTCACTCAACGGAAAATAGATTGCATTAAACACTCGTTTAAAAAGGTTTTTTAAATGCTTTTGTAAATATAACTTAAAGGTAATTTTTAAACTGTGATTAAATGGGTTTATTAAATAGGTTTTAAATGAAGTTCTGCTCAAGACAAACATAATCAGAAATATTATAGAAACTATATTAAAATGGGATACATTCCCATGGGTCCTTACAGAAGGGATCCTGACATGATATTACGAAAAGCGGCATAGTCACAAAATACGTCAGTCTCATGACGATTTTATAATTTTCATTAGAATCACTTAATATATGATAAATATAAGATGGCTACACACATATATTTTCATTTTTTAACTGACGTTTATCTTTACCCTCTGCACGATTTCCTTGAACGTTGACCGCATACACCTAACATTTTGCGCGTAACACTTTTATCTCACAATGTTGAATCAATAAAACATACATATTATGTGAGATTCATTTTAAGTGTCCTTATAACAATAGATTTCAAAATGTGACAATTAATATTCTAGGCATGACTGAGTTTCTAAAAAGAAAGTATCTTTCAGATAATATTGGTGGGTTCAAATGATATCATTTTATTTGTCATCGGTCTTGTTTGTTTTTTTGTCCAATTTTATCGCTTATTTTGGTCACATCTTAGCGGTCCGGTTCCGCCAAAACTAACATGTGTGTGCAATTTCTCACAATGCCAATTGTCTCACAAAGCGACCCCAGTACTTAAAATCAATGTCATTAATTACACGCATGACACATCCGATGAGTTGAGTGAATCGGTACAATATTCTACAGAATTTAAACAAATCAACCGCTGTGCATAAAATGATCCTAAAACTACAACATGTGATTATATACATTCAGGTTTTAATACTTCACAGGTGAAGTATTTCCAAAATGTTCAAAGACAAGAAAAACAAGTTCGACTGTCCTGTCTGAATATTTTTTACGTTTATTGTTGTTGTTCTTGGCAAATGTGGGCAAATGTTTTGTTATAATAAAAAAAAAGTTTAATTAACTAAAAACGATTATTCTTTTTAAAAATTTTCAAAGTTTAAAATGAAAAAACTTCAATGATTTCCAACAAACTTTTTTTTGAAAAAAAGATTTGAATTTTCAAAAAAAATTTAAATTTTTAGTGCCACCCTCTGTTTTTAAAAACAATTATTTACTAAAATACAGCTGTCACGGTTAAAAAAAAATTCAAACAACTTTCCATTTTTAATGATAAATTTAACATAAAGTATACGCATTTTTATAAAAAGTATTTTCGCAATTCCCGTTCTTGATTTAACAAATAACCACTCTAAAACCAATTAAACATGTAAATTTGTCCCCAGCAAATGGTTTGGTTTTTTATTTAAAACATTAATTTAAAGGAAACAAAAGTACATAAAAAGTTTCATTTTTAAAATTTCAAAATTATTAGTTTGTTTTTTTCCCCAAATTTTTTTAAACCCACGCTTTATTGTCCAAATGTAATTAAACTAATTACATTTTCAGTAAACTCTGCAAAAAATTTTTGTTTACAAAAGGGGATAGTATTAAGAAGAAAGAGGGCCCGTAAACCAAAAAAAAGGGTTTATTTACTTTTTAATAAATCTTTTTCATGAATTTAAAATTTCCCTTATCATTTAAAAATTTCAAAAAATTCAAAAATTTAAATTCAAAAAAAAGGGCCAAAATAGTGTGTATGCTTTTTAAAATTTAAAGCCGTCTTAAATTTTTGTGTCTGCCCGTCTCAAAACAAGCATGTACACGTATTTATGTCGGTAGCTGTAATTTAAGTTGTCTTGAAAAATTCATATCTGCATTGTCATTATTTGTTTCATTTCCCTTTTCGAACCTTTTGATTCCAATAACTTAAAATGTTTGAGTTTTAAAATGTCGCTTAAGCCGGTGTTATTTATGGGACCCAATGTGTCGTTGAATTACTCCATTAATCTCTCATGAACCATGCGCAAATAAATCTGAGTATGCAATTATAAAAAACTATCTATTTTCTGTTCTAATAACTTCTCGATCTACCTTTTCAATCATTTTTTAATTTTATGCTAAAGTTTTAAAAGGTCTGTATAAATCGTTTAGCCCACACAACACTGCCGACCAAGAAAACTTTTAAATAAATGGGCGCCAAGAAATCAAGGCAAGTTGGTCATTCATTAATTGTTCTGTTAAACAAAAGTGTTGGCATATTGGGCATTCCACGTTTGGTTTCAAATCAAAATGCATTTCAAATCAGATTTTACAGCTTGATTAATCAATTGCCGTTTGTATCAAGTCAAATGCCCGCTATGCCTTTAAAATCATACTTGAAGACTCCTTTCACAAGTGACAAACATATAACCAAGTTATTGAATTTTAAAACTAACCAAGACGGTATTGTTATAATTTTCTACCGTTCATTTTTAAAGGGACTCCCCCCCCCCAAAACTTGAGGTTAAAAAAAGCATAAAAAACAACATTTTAACTTTCTTACATAAAATGAGCTGGGGCACTTTTAAACAGAAATATATGGGCAAAGATAGGTAAGAAATTATACTTTTGAAATAAATTTGAAAAATTCGTATTTTTATTGCTTTCCTTAGCCCGATTTTGAGTGAAAAGCGTTTAAAACGGCTTTTTCATTTTGGGTATTTTTTTACAATTTGAATCATTATTCTGGAAAAACGAAGTGCGCAAATGATCTGAAATTTTGCACAAAGATTAGTGGTCTAAACCAACATCAAATGGTGCATTTATCTGAAAAAAATATTTTCAGTCCCATCATTTTCAAAAAAAAACCTTTAACCAATATACAAAACTAATTATTGAACTCGGATTGAGATAAAGGTCGTAGACAGGATAAGACATTTTGAAGTATGGTTAAAAAAATATTTTCAAATTCAATTATTCCAAAGCGTTGGATTTCTTTTGTTTTGAACTATTGTCCTAATGAAATTCTTATCTAATTAGCACAGAACATATCTGGTTTAATTAGCTACATAGAATTGCTTGTATTTCTATGAAACAACAAGAATTTACAAATTATCTAATTATAACAGTACAGGGCTACAATAATTATGTTATTTTATCGTTTCAGAAACTAAATCGGCCTTTATTTTTATTGAACTAAAATAACAAAGTTGAAGAACAAATCTTTTATACATTTAACAGATTTTAGGTCAAAATTGTTGGCATTCAAGTTAAAGTAATAACGCTCTATCTTTTTCATGAAATATTTTTTTATTTTTAAAAAATTTATGATGTTTTCATGATCATAACCGATATTTCTTGAATGATTTTGTAAACAAAATTTCTGTTATTTAAAGTATATCTGAACGTAGTACGTTCACAAAAATTATCCCGGGGAATTATTTTAGCAAGGTTGATTTCACGCATGTCCCACTTCGCTTTCAATTTGAAATAAATTATTGCTGACAAATTTCTTTCATTCTAGGTTTTTTTCCTAAAATCATTTTCAATCAACAATATAAACCCAATAATTTTCAATGCACCATGCAGTATAGCTTTTATACATTTTAAGTACCAGACGCATTTAGATTGAAAGAACTATCTTTTTTAACGATAAGACATTCGTGCATAAAATAGGGCGAAGTGTGCACCTCTCATGAAAATCATGAAACTTAGCACAGTTTTTTGGTTGATATAAGACTTTTTCATTAAATTTTAAGTTTTATATAAAGAGAGAGGAACAGAGAATATGTATTCAAAGAATTAGTAATAGGTTTTAGAAAAAAGGCAAAAGAAGTGGTATAAATAATGAATGAAGGATACAAAAAATTTGAAAATATAAGAAACGAAAAGGTAACATTGTGAATAAGTTTGTAAAGATATGATATTATCTTGCATAGATAAAGATTAAAACAATTATATTTTGGAAGCGTCCGGCCCGATTTTCTACTAACTACAACATCATCTTTAATGTTTTCTATGCATGTGCATATTTTTATATCAAATGGTTCCATATTGTTTCCAAAACATTCTTAAAATTATTTATACTAATAATCTTGCAAAAATGAATAAAAACATTGACTTTTTGATCTTGATGTCTGGTCAGAAGAAAACGTATTCCAGGAACAATAAAATGTATATCCCTGATTAGTACCTTCACATATGATTATTACTTTTTGTGCACAAATGAAATAAAACATCTTTAGCATTTTATAACATATATAGAGGATAATTGTTTGTTTTGCATGTAAGATTGAAATATAATTTCACTGAGTGAACACCCAGATGCAATATTTTCACGAGTGGCGTAGCCACGAGTGAAAATATAATAGCTGGTGTTCACGAATGAAATATGTTTCAATCTTATATGTAAACAAATAAATTTTTCTTTTTATTTCATGCTTTCTAAGTGATTTTTAAGTATCTTATTACTGATTTTGGCCGCGTAACGTCGCGCATTCTCTTTTGTGACGTCATCACATCATGACGTCACGTCATCAATTTTGAAATATAGTTCTGTTAAAATTTTCTAATTTTGTTACATTTTTTAACATGATGTATGATGACATCGACTTTCTTTTCCTAAAGAAACAAAATTTCGTATGACGGCATTTATTTCTGTCTGTTATTTCCATTTAGTTATGATTTTCTTTTCATCCGCATTCAGATATAGTCCGCGCTACAGTGAAAATTATATTTTATAAATTTCACTAGTGGTTTATCGGAATATAATCATCTGATATATTACAATAAAACACTGGAAAGCATGAAATAAACATATTTTATCAATGTTCTTTAAGATTTGTTTCTCTACAATATGTGCACTGAAGAGTCTAATATTGTACTAAAGGTACCAACAAAGGTAAAACGTTGGACCATCATATTTCAAAAGAATGACATTGAAACTTTTAATATTGTTTTGTCTTACGATACCTGTGAAGTTGATGGTCTCCTCTGACAGTGTCTGCGCATGCTCCATCACGATAGCAACAGCCTCGTCTACAGAAATCATTGGAAACGGGGACTCCCTTGGTCTGTAAGCAACTTGACTAACATCTACCTGACCTGGAAGCATAAAATATGGAATTTGATAAATAAAATAATTGTGTGCATTAAAATTTAAAAAAGAAAATTTGCATCAAGATTTGTTTAATTGATTGATTGATTGATTGATTGATTGATTGATTGATTGATTGATTGATTGATTGATTAAACAGAAAACAGGTCTTCTGCAATAGGTTATTTTGCTATAAAAGACTAATGTTATTGTTTTAACTTATTAAGAATTTGATTTAAAAATCTAATAAACTTTCAATTATCTCCTGTATTCATAATTTAAAGTTATCATTTTTTCTGATTACTCTTTCATCTAAGAATTACATGTTTGCAACAAAATATTCTTTATAGTTCGTTGGTTTTCGTGTTCGGCAGTCACAAGCGTTGAAATAAAAAATCACGAGCGGATATGTACAGATATAAAATAGTTAAAGAAAGTATCTAATCACCTGCAAATAATTGAGAACACCCACGGAAATTCAAATTGGTTGTGATTGAAAGCACTGTAATCATAAACCAGTTTTGTGAGTTTAATTATTCTTAACCAAATTATTGAAGCATAAGCAAATGTGTTGTCTTTTACCAAAAATGTAAGAGCTTATAGGTATAGTAAAGTAAAGTAAAGCATTAACTGGTTGATATTTTTGGTAAATTTTGGCGATTACTTAACCTAAAATGACATTATGTAGCCAAATTTTTAATAACGTGTGTAACCACCACGTGCCGGATGATAGCTTCAACCCTTCTCCTCATACTACCAGTAAGGTGTCTAATGCTGGTGCAGAGCTTGTTCCAGTTGTTGCAAGCTGGTACCATTGCCCAGATTAAATTTTAAAAGTCTGGTCATGTCAAAATTGAGGCAAAATGAGGCGGGTGTACTTGAATTATTTCCAGGTGTATCCGAGTATATAAACAGCTGAAAAGATGCATAGCGGGACTGACTAAGCTTTTCTTTTTCTTTTTTCCGTAGAAATGTGCGATTTGTTCAAATACACGAGACGTTTAAATGAATAACCGTTCAATAACCTCTAATAAAGACATTTTATTGAAAATACACATAAAAGTTCAAATCTTGGTCTTCTTATTGAACAAAAGAGAAGGTAATAGTAAATTAAATATAAACGTCTTATATTCTTCCTTACTTATCGTAGGTCTATTTCTGTAGATATTCTAAACGGAAAATTGAAGACAGAATATGAACATATATGGAACAGAGATAAAGGTAACACTCCATAATTATATCTATAAATAAAATCTTTGAACATCATTTACAGGGCGGCATCAAGTATGTTCAGTACGTGTGTAAATAGATCAACTATATATAAACTAAAATACATGTGAAGACATAATTACATATATGCCTTCTTTAACGTAAGACCAATTTGCTTACGGGGAAATGCCACTTGAAACGCTTAAAATAATTTGTATGCGTTTCTTTCTGTCTTCCTTTATGTATTTAGCTTTTACGTCAATTGTCATAGTTTGGTGATCGGTCCATTTTCTCGACCGTCTAGCCGGCTTTCATACATAACTAATCAGTAAAAGACTTACTCCGGGATAAATAATATTTTGTGTTTTCCCAGCTATTCCGGTACAAAAAGAATATTTTTATATTAGTTACAGCGCAACAGGTTGACAAATCTATTGTAACGGGTAGTGCACCGTTAAGTCATAACAGTAAAAGTTTGTTTGTACCTACGGATTAGCTGGGGAAAAACACTTTTGCCGGGTTCCGGATAACATCTATTACAAATTTCTCCACAAGTTACCGACTACTAATACCACATGATTACCAAATTCAGTTTGAGAGACGAATAACCACCAGACGCAATCAATTGTCACCTGGCCAGGAGACCATGGATTATAAAGTTATACTGGAACTAGCAGGCAGCTTTTGTTATCATAAACTGTCTATCTTAATTTTTTTTAACTCTCACATGATGAGCTAACCTGATGACGTCAATATTCCCTTTATTTTTGTGTTTTTACCATTCATTAAAAAAACGGTTAAACTGCAGATTGTGTTTCCACAAACAGCTTAAGAGTATAACCGAGAGAGTCCATACATTTATGAGCCTTATTTATACATTTCTTAATCTATTAATTACGGGCTTAGTTTTACCTTCCACATATCTGTACTTAAACCTGATCTTACTTGCGTTAAACAATGACAAGCGCTTCCATACCAAATTAGGTTTGAAAATAATACGAGTATACTACTCGTAACAAAATATCTGCTAAGCTGAAAGGCAACAAACGTCGAAAATAAATACATACAATGGCTATATGCCAAAAGCATGTTACAAATATTAATCACACAATTGCTATCGTATGACAAGGGAACCTGCAGGACTACGCTATTATTAAATTGCATATTTTTCTCTAAAAAGGGAAACTAAAAGTAGCAATTTGTTATTAGGTTATTGTTTATACAGCGTACTACTGAAATCTTATATCACCGTAAGGAATATTGTATAGTTTAAGGTTGACATTGGTTTTGTTTGTTACAATCATGCATGCTGTTGGAAACGTGCTATGTTATGGCTATACTATATTACGATCTACTTTTGTTGCAGCTTAATTGAAGAGGGATTAATTCACACGTGAACACAAGACGTCATATTAAAAATGCTACATTCCTATGGGATATCCCCGTCCGTTTCTAAAGTTCTATATTTAGATTTATCTCACATAGCCTAAAGCTATATATTTGTCATGCTTTACTTTTATATAGTTGCTATTATTTTTGTTTCTGTTTAAAATAGATAAAAAAATCCCTAAAGATTGCCCAAAACGGCAATATGGAAAATATTACAGGCTCCGTAAGATTGAGCCAGTTCATGGACTGTACTGGAAAATGCAAGCTATTATCCACGCCCAACATTTAAACATGGTAATGGTAAAATTTAAAATTCATAAACATAAATTTAAAATCGATGATTTAAAACTTTTTTATACTGTTTAAGCCTGTAGATCTGGCGTGAGTGATGTACCGAATTTGGGATTTTCACTTATTAATTTTGTTTTTGCCCAAAAAGATCATCGTGTGTACGAGTATAATCTGAAAAACAATTTGAAGTCTAAGCCATTCTGCTTTCAACTCTTTTTTTAAAAAAAAAAACAAAAAACTTATAGTCCTCATAAGAGTCAACTTGTGCATGGATATATAAGCATAGTAGTTTAATGGCGGTATTTTTTTCAGTTTTCTAAATAAACCACATTTCATTCTAAAGGTCCCAATTAAAAAACAAAAAGCTCTACAGATGTTTTTTTTTCTATCTCCTTTTTTTTCTTTTTTGCTTTTTTTTTCAAATAACACCTCCATTGTTTGTTTGTGGTTCCTTTTTTCCTTTTTCTTGTTTTTATTTCTTGTTTTTATTTATTTATTTATTTTTTATTTTATTTATTTGATAAAAAGTCAGTGTCTTATGTTCATGTGGTGCTACTAGTTTCAAGGTGAACTTCTGTTATATAAAATACCATTACATTATATATGTTTGTAATTAACAAAAAATTAATTCCACTTAGCAGGAGACTTCAAGACTTCTTAAATAACACAAGAGCGGTGGGGGAGTTTAATTGCTGTCAGTAAAGAAGTTTTATTTAGAAATCGTTTACAGATACATGGCAGAGATATGATAACTGGAGATTGTAAACACTGTAAGGATTATCAAAAATTAATGAGTTTTCTCTAACATCCTGCCGGAGAGCATAAAACAATTTTAGCACAAGCCATTTGGTCGGTTAGTTTGTGGCGTGGGTGAGATGTTAAAATAATGCGGTAGAAATAATTTGTTTATATAGTTATTATGAGCTAATATAAAAACTCATTATGAGAGAACAAAAACTGAATATTGAAAACGCACTCCTACACCATATCAGAAACTGTGATTAGTTATTACATCATTGTCAATACAATAATTCCTAGACTTTGTTTAAATTATTAATATTAGCGTCAGTGCGAAATGTTCAAGAAATAAGAAGAAAAAAACCAGATTGCCCTCACACCGTAATAAAAAGTGCCCTTGTTTCTATGACATCGGATAAAAAAGGAGAACAAATAAAACTTCAGCTTAGAAGATTGATTCAATCCAACATATTATATATAATTACTTGAATGATGTCCGTACAATGATGTGAGCTATTTCTTGGTGATGGATAGCATGGTGGTGACCATGATGATGATGCGAATGCGGATCCCTCACTTCTGGGGCATCTGTAGGTACATGTGGTATCTGTGAATAGAGCATCGAGTATGCAGATTATGAAATATAAAAATATTTACTCAAAAGGTTAAAATTACATGTGCACTATTTACATATTATATACAGTGTGCTTTTAATATATTATATCTAATGCATAATAATATAATCTTTCTTGACAGTCTTTATTCTTCTGATAAACTTTTGCAAAATGAAAACAGATTTTCTCTTTCCCTTAAACATCGCTATGGCGATATTGATTTTAGTAGAAACTTAAAAAAATAAATTTCAAAATGAAATAGATCTATTACAAAACTTTTCTTTAATTCTTTTACAACAGAAGGGAACTGTGAAACGTCAAATTTTGTATCTTCAAAATGGTATTTGTATTTGCATCTTCGCAAACAATGAAAAACTTTTTAATGACAAGTTTTTCATTAATTACCAGATAACGGCCTTCCATACTAGATCATACGTGGTCAAACTATTCATACAGCATGCTTTCATTGAAATTAAGATAATTATATTTAAATCTATAATTTACGAATTTTGATTAATACCTTCGGTTGTAGCTTCACGTAGTCCGGGTCTTGTCTGATGTCTTTTCCGTACCCTGCTGGTGCAATGACCTATCAATATCAAGTAAATGTTGTCAAAATAACCTTGACAATATGTTACGTTTTAAAAACATTTAAAAAAATTAAAATATGTATGAAGCTGGGAACATGCTGCTTTAAACAGGTTAAAGAATGGGAGATTCTGTCTTAATCTATACAAAAATAACAACATTGAAAAACTTTATTGTTATAGATTGGTATTTTGAAACCCTGGTATACATTCTACAGGAGGCAAGTTTTTCTATTGGTCACTGTCACTCGATGCTTGCGTAAGCTAAAATACTTTACCATAAAATGTCACAGTCAGAGTCATATAACATGCAACATTTTCATATAAAAAATTTCAGAACATAGTCACGTTTTTAGTAATCTCAGTAATGAATATCAACAGATCAACATAATTTTCTAATGGTTATTCAAGACTTATATTTCCAAACGACATCGCTGTAAAGTTTGAATATTCCTGAAAGTCAATAGCAATTAGATAAAACATGGTTTTGAAAAAAACATATGAAAAGACAAACTTTTATTAATAAAAATTATTCAACATTAACACATAGTAACTTTTCAATATCAATTAACCAAAATAAAAAATACTTTGTACTTCAGAACTATCTTACTTTACCTTTCTCTTATTTTAATAACATTAACCCAATACAAAGATAAAGATTCAAATAAGATAAGAATGTACTCAAAACTGACCAATAATTACCCACTCATAATTTTACAAAAGCCAGAAGTCTTTAGAAGTCCAGGTTGTGTTATAGTGCAACAACAAACATCAAAAACAAAATTAGCTGAGTCAGCAAACTTCTGACGAAACAAGTTTCTCTTAAAACATTATTAAAACCATACAACCGTAGATCTTTTTGCAAAAATATCAAGATGGGATTATTAATATATTTATGATAAGCCACTCTATCTCATTACAGACACATTACTAAATTGGAACTAAATATTTAATGGGGTTTCTGCATTCATTAAGAGCTTAAAGATGGATTATCAAAAATACTGTTATAATTATAGTCAGAGATATGATAAAATAAACACCTAATAATTACAAACATAAAACAACTTGCATATCCTCTAAGTCATAAAGCATACTTTTTAAAATGATTAGGTGATATATACTGCTTTCAAAAATCGGCAATATCGGAGAAAAACTGCCCTTACTTTTAACAATTACACTGCAATATATA